AATAAAATCTGCATCAAAATTAATGATATGTATTTATAGATATGCGTAATCACAGTAATTGCCCAACTAGATGAGGAAAGAGGCAAAAGACAAATTTTACCAATGTTCCACATCAGCTGGCTCTGAAGGTCACTCACCATCTCCCGTGCCACACCATCTCCCAAAGGACCAACTCCCAAAGGGCCCTGGTGTCACAGAGAAGGCTCAGGGGCTGCAAATACCCTCTTCCTTCCACAGGCCAGAAACACAGGCTAGGGAAATGTGACATCAAGAAATGACTCCCTGTGGGACGCCTGGGTGGCTCAGTGGGTTAAGCCTCTGCCTTCGGCTCAGGTCATGATCCTAGGTCCTGGGATTGAGTCCCGCATCAGGCTCCTTGCTTGGCGGGGAGCCTGCTTCTCTCTCTCTGCCTCTGCCTGCCACTCTGCCTGCTTGTGGGTACTCTCTCTCTCTCTCTCTCTGACAAATAAATAAAAAAAAAAAAAAGAAAGAAATGACTCCCTGCATAATTCCTGCTTGGAGGCTCCGGGAAGCCACTCAGAGCTACCGGAGACTTGTCTTTCACTGGTATAATTCCAGCAGAGTCAGGACCGGTCTGTTAAGAGGATGATGCCCCAGGAAGGCAGGGGTGTTTGTGGTAAGATGAGGGAGCGCACTGGCAGAGCAGTGGTGAGTCTGGGAAATGCACCTCCAAGTGCATAACCGGCTAATTAGTTTGCTTCCCTAATGCCTAGCACCCAAAGAACGGGAGTTTTAAGGACTATGAGGGTATCATGGTATGAGAAAGAGAGGAAGGGAGTATAAATTAGAAAAGGTGTCCCTCAAAAACCCAACTTATTGTATCAAGAATAAGCCCTATTCTCATCACAAGGAAAAAAAAATACTTTCTTTCTTTTTTTTTTTCCTTATGATTTTATTTATTTGAGAGACAAGTGGGGAGGGGTAAAAGGGGAGAGAGAGAATCCCAAGCAGATTCTGTCCTGAGTGTGGAGCCTGACACAGGGCTCAATCTCACGACCCTGAGATCGCAACTTGAGCCAAAATAAAGAGTTGGATGTTTACCTGACGAGCCCCCCAGGTGCCCTTTTCTTTCTTTCTTTTGTGTTTGTGATCATGGATGATGACCAGTCTTATTGTGGAAATCATTCAACAATATATGGATGTCAAGTCTTTATGCTGTACACCTTTTTTTCAAAGTTTTTTTTTTTTTTAAGATTTCTTTATTTATTTTAGAGAGAGAAAGAGTGTGAGTGGGGGGATGGCAGGGGGAGAGGGAGAGAGAGAATCTCTAGTAGACAACCCACTGAGAGTGAAGTCTGATGCTGGGCTCCATCTTAGGACCCGAGATCATGATCCGAGTGGAAACCAGGAGTTGGACGCTCAGCCGACACCTGGGTGCCCTGTTATACTGCACAGCTTAACTTTACATGTGGTACGTCGAGTATATCTCAGTATAATTTAAAGAAAAAAATAATTAAATGGCATTTCTGGCATGTGATAAACACGCAGTAAATGCCACGAGGGGTGGCCCCAGCCACTCCCAAATCCATTCGCAGCTCTGTGAGCCAGCAGTAAGACTAAGACGGCTGCAGTGGTCTGGCTCTGTGATGTTAGTCTGATGGGAAAGCCCAGCATTGTGTTTTGTTTTGAGTGGGAGGGGGCGGGTCCAAGAATGTCGGTACCTTGTTTAGGATCTCTGCTTAGCTGAACCACACCAAGGAGGAATTTTAGGATGCATTCCAAAATGGAAATATATAGAACTTTCCATCCTACCACAATCATTTGGGGTAATGGAGGGTATTTCCATCCCATCTGTGTTGTAAACCCACTCTGGTCCTTTCCTGAAAGCAAACGATGACATTTCTACCAATTTATATCGATAATCTGGCTTTTTTAACTGACACTACAAATTAAGATAAATGGATACCTCCCCTACCTAATTTCAAATGTCTTAAAATTTCCAAGAATAATCATTTCTTTGTAAATTACACAGGGCAAGTTTTGATATAATCAAAGAGGTAATTTCATTATGAGACAGAACTTCAAAAAACCTTCTTGTGGACAGAAAACCTTTTCATTGGAGAACAGAAATAATGGCCCTGAAATGGCTTTCAAGAAAAAATGAAAATAATATACAATATATTATTTACAGAGAAAGAAAATGTTATAGGATAATCATTTTCAGAGTTACTTGGGCTATGGGATTAAAGATAACTCCTCAAAGTACTTTAAAACAGCAAAGTTATTAAGACTATAATAACTTTGTAATAAAATTTCATATGTCCAATTATGACATGTGTTTTTCATAGAGAAAACCAATTAAAGACAGCTGTGTCTTAAGTACATTTTGGACCACAGGCGCATAATGGGTTTTAACAACAGTCAGTCTTCACGCTGCCACTGATTACTAAACACACACTTTGTGAGGAGCCTTTCTTACGTGGGACCTAGACACAGAGTCCTGTCCGGTGATAGGTCTAGATCCACTCCCACAGCAATGCTGGCATTAGAAGGCAGAAGGGATATTGTCTTCAACCAGTTCCTACCAAGCTTTTGCTCTATGCCAAATAGCCTTGGGGGGTGGGGGAGTTTTGCCCTGCACTGGGAGGCAGCATGGTGTGGTAAACATTTCTTGTTTTTTAAATCGGGAATCCCAATTCAGAAGCCTGCTTCTTCCACTGGCCAGAGCTATGTCTTTGGTACAAACCACTTACCATCCTGTGGTTTGGTTTGCTCTACAAGATAAGGGGCTGTCCCTTGGCTACTTGTGGTTCTCCCTGAAGGTCCATCTTATAGAAGGCTATGGAATCACTAACTTTCTACGTCTTCCTATGGAACTGGGTGGTTTTAAAATACGTCTACAAGTTCTTTGACACCCTTCCCTTTGAAAGGTGGAGTCTAATTTCCTCCCTGGAGTGACCCTGTGGGACCTTCCCGGCTAGATTATTAAGGGCAATACTGTCTCCCTGTCACTCATTCTCGTTCTGGCCCCCCCACTCTGTCCTGAGCAGAACGCTTTTAGATCCCTGAGCCATCATGTAAGATATCCAACTACTCTGAAACCACCAGGCTGGAGAAAACCACATAAAGCAGCCCCATAAAAGCTATTTAAATCTTACAACCCAGGTGATTGACATGAGTAAAGATGCCAGCCCCAGACACTGTCTATAACCTCAAAGGATACGTTTAACTGGAACGACTAAGCTCAGCCCTTCCTGAATTCCTGATCCACAGAAACGGTAAGAGATATAAAATAATGACTTGTTTTAAGCTACTAATTGTTGGGGGTGGTTTGTTATGCAGCTGCAGTAACTGGAAGAGGAACTCTGATGGAATCAAAACGAGAGGGAAAACAATGCCACCCCAAGGTCAAACAAGGAGATCTTCAGCATCCACAAGAAGCTCAGGAAAAAAGACTTAGAAGTCTTCAAGAATGATGAGGGCAGTATAATTCACCAATAAATGCCACACAAAGCAGCACTGAAATAATCAGCTTTTTTTCCAATCACCCCTTCATTTTCAAATGTCTATGAACATTTTTCCACATCCATGGCTAAGAGAAAAATAGTAAGAACGACCCTAAGTGGGGGCACGTGCGTGGTCCAGTTGGTTGGGTGTCCAACTCTTGGTTTCATCTCAGGTCATGGTCTTGGGGTTGTGGAACTGAGCCCCATGCTGGGCTCTGTGCTCAGCGGGGGATCAGCTTGAAGATTCTCTCCCTCTGCACCACCCCCACAATTGCATGCACACGCTCACTCTTTCTCTCTTAAAAATAAATCTAAAAAATAAAAAAAGGAAAAAGAAATGACCCTAAGTGGAACCACTTAAACCTACCAGCAAGGCCAAAGGTAAAGGAAAGTGGTGGGACATCATTCAGTCATTTCCATGCAGGCACTGATACAACTGCCTGCTGGCCTTCCCCCTCATGCCTTCCGTCACAGACTGGGTAGCAGATAATAAAATGCAAGTGTTTTCCAAAGTATACTTCCCAGCAACTCGGAAAAGTAGGACTACTCCTTTGAAAAGGACAAGGAAAGAGCTGGAGTCCAGTTAGAAATGTGGCTCCTACCATTGGCCCAAAGTTAGAGAGTTGGGATAGCCCGTGTGTCCTGGTGAAACGGATGCAAGGGTGAGGCTGAGGAGATATCAATGGTGGCCTGTGGGCAGGATTTAACCACAAACCCACTCTTTCTCCCTGGCCTACTCAGTGTTTCCAAAACTGGAAATTTCATGTAAAAAGTCTAGATTTCTAGTTTCTCTTGAAGCACCGGACTTCGGTCCTGAGTGTGACTTACCACCTGATCTCCATCCCTGGAGGACAAGCTGTTTCTCCCTTTAGAAAGAGCATGTCCTATTTGTCTCAATCCCCCCACTAGTGCTCTAGACTTGGGCTCACTTTACTTGTTCACTTTATATTTCTGTCCCTGTGGTCACCAAAGTTTGTGTCTGGTGACCTATACCAAGAGAAGGGCTTCTGACTTCAAACCTCAGGATGATTTTTCATAACTATAGGTTTGAAATCTTTGGTGCTTTAGAAATTCCAATAAATTCTGCTGCTGTGCCCTTGCCAATTTCATTCCCTAAACTACACATGTGGGACCATGACAAGCATACCCCTAATGGTTATGTAAGTCCTCCTACAACCAACCCTTCTGAACACTAGGGTGATCAGTGTGACTTCGGAAAAATATACCGAGTGTTTCTGATATATCCAAATTATCTCTAAAATGCAAACTGTCCGTACAGCAGTCAAGCATTCCGAGTCCAGATTAATACAGAAAAGAAACAACTGCCAGTCTGCTGTGGGATGAGAGCATGGACAGAAACGGAGCAAGGTCAACAACATATTGTAAAGTAAGACAACGGAATTACTTACCACAGACTATCTTCAAGGCAATTTCTAGTGAGGACTTAATTAGGCAATGAGGGCATTTGTGAGAGATTGAGACCGACATGTGCAGAGTGTGTTAGAGAAAACAAAACAAGACAGAACAACTCACCAATTCCAGACATTGTCTGTGGCCATAGGCAGCAGCGTAATGTACACTATTGTAACCTTCCTTGTCCCGGATCGACGGATTTGCATCATTTTGAAGCAGAAACTCTAGACATCTGTAAGTATAAAAATGAGGTATTATCTTAGAAGACATCTCTAGACCAGAAGCAATACTTAATGTAGATATCTTCCTATTACGAGTGTTCCACAAAGTACTTTGTGAATTTAAGCGTTTCTTTAAAAATCCCCTGGCAATGAGGATTTATGTACCGGAAGTTTTTT